TCAGTAGATATTTGTTTAGCTAAATTGGACAATCACAACCTTACCATATGTGACAATTTTGCTATTCTGAGGCTTATTTAAAATTTACAATATTATCTTAATAATGTAAAAATTGAGATTATCTAAGGATATTGCTTTTTAAAGCAAATCACCCAGAACTGTTTGATAAAAATATTTGGAATTTAATTATATCTACAGTAGTTGAACTTTAACGAGCAATTAAAGGTTTCCTATTGATATCTTACATGTCTTTAGATTAAACATTGAATGATTCTGAATAACATCCATATATTTAGCAATTTGCCTTTAAGAAAAATAGTCACATCAGCGAAGCCAATTAATGTGATATCTCAGGGTATCAATCATTTCGATAGATGCTTGGATGTCTTAGATTTAGAGTTAAATTACTTTTAAAGCATACATATTATAACAACTCTATGGAGTAATTTATGTTATGTTGACTTTTTGATTGTTATAAGTAATTCGATAACTTTAATAGTTGAACAAAGCTTATTGAGTTGAAGATTTTTCAAAATAGAAACATTAAAGAACTGAAAAACATAAGGTAGGATATGATATTATTAATTGAAATGAGTTCAATTATTTTAATGCAAATTTTGTTAAACCAAGATAGTTCTAAGAAGCAAAATATGACTTTTTAAATGGCAATTTTATTATCAATTGAGAAAAATCTTACAATTAGAAACCAGATTCAATGCATTATGGATTCAAATTTACACTTACGAATTGCCATGAAGTAATTGTTGTACTTATTAGATAAATTTATTGTTAATATTTTACCCAATTAAGCGCACATTTATATTGTTGTTTCTATTAGTAAATTAAGTTTATATTTGCGTATAGATACATTTTTAGATACTTTGAGAGTTACGAATAATTATTCATCACTACCTATTAAAGTTAAGAAAATAGAATTATCTGGTAGTATTTATAGTTTACCTTAGGGCATAAAATGCAGATTATAACTATGCTACTAATTCCGATTATTATTCCAAAATGGTCAAGAAAGTTAGCAAAAAAAGTTTGGAAATTTGTACTTTGAAAATCTAAAATATTTTACCAAAAATTACTTTATGAAATTCTTGAAATAGTTATAAATATTAGGATGATTTTCAATTAATTTAAACAATCGTTTTAAGATTTCATTAAAAAAAATAACTTTTAAATTTTTCAAAAAGTCTAAAAGATTCATTCCATAAGATGGAAAATATATTTAAAACATAGGTATAGGTAACTTAATTTTATTTAATTAGAATAACCTTAAAACTATGCTAAAACATCTAGTTTTTAAAATTTCAGAAAAATTAATCTTAAGGTTAGTGGTTAGTATTCTATCTATTTACTTTATATTTAGATATCATGAATGATAATGTCTTCCAACTTTATTTTTCCCTTTGAAAGGGTTAGTTATAGATGCTTGTTCAGAAATTGTTGTTGCCCCATCACAAAATAAATCCAAAATTAGAGGCCCAAACTAAATAATATTTCCATTAAAATAGTTAATCAAACAATTGTTATTGGCAGAAATTAGATTTGACAACACAAAGGCTTATTACATTGTGTTATTATGAACACTTGAAAGAAAAAACCTTAAGATCATGAAATAAAACACAGATTTTCATTTGAAGATCAAAACTTATTTTGTAAATAGTTATTTTTATCCACAAAGTTATTATGTCAAGTGTATATAGTCCAACACTTTCTCTAAATTAGATTTTTAAAGTAAAGTTTAAAGAATCAAGCAGATATTTAAAGGGATGATATAAATATTATTTCTATAAGGTGAAATAGTTTATTTTAATATGTATATGTAATGGGTTTTTGAAAATCAAATATAACAATTAAAACAAAATTAATAAAATGAATTTAAATTGTATATCATTAATGGCTATTTTAAAAACAATCTATATCATTTCTCTAAAATTATACTTCCTTTAGATTTAAATAATTATCGTAAATCATACCCTTTAAAATTTACAAACTCTCCTTTCAAGATTAAAGCTCCTTAAGCTTCTAAATTTGGATTCTAGGAAATTTTTAGAGTAGTAATATAAGGGTTAGCTAAAGAATAGCGAAAAATAAATACCATGTTCTTGAAGAACATTATTTTAAATTGTTGAAGGCCAATATTATGCTAAGATATCTTTATAACGATTATCTGAAGATACAATTTCNTCTTTTCTTGTTCTTTTGAAGATATTGTTTTTTATACTTTAGAGAGAAATCAAGGTGAATAACACAAGTTTACAAAAGAAGAAACTATTATTTCCAAGAAAACTATTTCGATATCAACCGATGGTTCACGATAATTTAATGTAAAGAAACTTTTAGATTATGAATATGCTATTTAATTTGTTTTCTGTGAATTTATTCAAAAAAAGCTATGTATTTATAATATTACTGAATAATTCATTATATCGCTAAGTATGAATAATTACTTATCAAGATTATCCACATTTTCTCTTGTTTATTCTAAGATTATATTATAAAGATTAAGTATCTGGAAGTATCATTTAGATGAATAATAATGGCATTATCAACACAAATTAGAAACAATGATAATTTAGTTTATTATATGAGTACTTTATTCAAAATTACTTTCAGATATAATGTGATATAGCGCAGTATTTTTTTCATAGTATCAATAAGAAAGTTTATTTGAATTAAGAATATCAATAGTAATAAAATACATTGAACCAGTACAATTTGATTGATTTCATAGTAGATATTTCAAATAGGTTGAAATTAATTACCTGACAATATAAATTATTTTCTTAAATAATAATGGATTGTTATATCAGATATTTATTATAGATAAATTGAAAATATCAAAAAAAAACAGTCAATACAGACAACCCTATTAATTGATTCTTCTCTTTATATTGTTGAAGTAAAAAAGTCAAGCAGAGAAATCAAGAACCACACTTATGAAAATCAGGTTAAAAATTAATATATATTATGTATTTGAATTGTAATAAATTTCACTTTTATAAGGATTCCAAAATGCAACTTCCTTCAGATTTGAATAATTATCATAAATCACCACCTTAATAATTTATTATATTCTCCATTTAATACTAAAGCTCCTTAGACTATAAAAAAGAAGTATTTTTCGATCAATTTTGCCTAAGTAATAATGAAACTAAATATGATTTTTGTCATGGATGACCTTTAAACTGGCAGAACTAAAAAAAGAATGAATTTGTAAAAATTATTTTGATTTAGAATTTAATTACTGTTTTAACATCCCATAAACGGATAGAGATTCGTATTCCTTAGGGCTTGAGAAAATATTCTTATTTCGGCCTAACTGGCTAGGAAATTCCCGATTCATATTCCGGCCGTCTTGCTCAGGAAATTCCAGCCTCCATATTCCGGCCGTAATGGCTAAGAAAATCCGATTGGTATTCAGCCTTACTAATGTTGCCTGATGGTAGCGCTTCTATATTGGAGAATTTGAAAATTTCCCAAAATATAAAGGAAAATGAAATTAAATTTTCATTCAATATAAGGAAACACGAACTGCCATAAGTAAAACTAACCTTTCAATGAGGCTAATCATCTGGTAGAGTTAAGAAGCCTTATTTTTTGTTGGCTAAATGAAGAGTATATATTTTGATAATATATATTAATTCTTTATTGTAAATGGTTATTATAATCTACACTTTAGGATCTATATCTAGTGAATAGTACGCTTTTTCTAAATTTCATTTTACTCAAGTTTTAACTTAATCAAGCTTGATATTTAAAACTACTCCCATTTTTGACAGATATAAATTGTATTTCTATAAGGTGAATATAATTGATCTTAATCCGTCTCTCTATAAAGTTACTGAAAATTAAAAATCTCTTTCTCAGCCAAAGCATTTTGCAATCAGATATTATCGATATTACTTTTACAATTAATTCAATAATTACAATAATTATCTAGCTCTCTAAACATTAACAATTAACAAAAAATTTTAATAATATTAAATTTTTATTTTATATTTTAAATGGATCAATTGTGTATAATTTTTAGTTCATTCTCTAAAATCAAACTACCTTTAGATTTAAATAATGATTTTAAATCTTATCCTTTCAAATCAGCAAATTCTCCTTTCAATATTAGAGCTCCTTAAGCTTCTAAATTTGGATTCTAGGAAATTTTTAGAGTAGTAATATAAGGGTTAGCTAAAGAATAGCGAAAAATAAATACCATGTTCTTGAAGAACATTATTTTAAATTGTTGAAGGCCAATATTATGCTAAGATATCTTTATAACGATTATCTGAAGATACAATTTCTTATCCTGTTTTAACATCCCATAAACGGATAGAGTTATCATGACTACCAGATGCTAATGTAGTACCATCAGGAGAGTAACAAATTGAATTAACTCCTCCAAAATGACCATCTAATTGGGCTTTTTATTATCCTGTTTTAACATCCCATAAACGGATAGAGTTATTATAACTACCAGATGCCAATGTAGTACCATCAGGAGAGTAACAAATTGAATTAACTGCTCCATAACGCCCATCTAATTTGACTTTTTATTATCCTGTCTTAACATCCCATAAACGGATAGACTTATCTGCACTACCAGATGCTAATGTAACACCATCAGGAGAGTAACAAATTGAAAAAACTCCTTTTGAATGACCATCTAATTTGGCTTTTTATTATCCTGTTGTAACATCCCATAAACAGATGGAGTTATCATAACTACCAGATGCTAATGTAATACCATCCGGAGAGTAACAAATTGCGAAAACTGCACTTGAATGACCATCTAATTTGGCTTTTTATTATCCTGTCTTAACATCCCATAAACGAATAGAGTTATCTGCAATACCAGATGCTAATGTAGTACCATCAGAAGAGTAACAAATTGAATAAACTGTTTCAGAATGAACATCTATTTTGGCTTTTTATTATCCTGTCTTTACATCCCATAAACGGATAGACTTATCCAAACTACCAGATGCTAATGTAATACCATCAGGAGAGTAACAAATTGCTCTTACATAATCTGAATGAGCATCTAATTGGGCTTTTTATTATCCTGTCTTAACATCCCATAAACGGATAGAGTTATCTGCACTACCAGATGCCAAAGTAGTACCATCAGAAGAGTAACAAATTGAATTAACCAAACCAGAATGACCATCTAATTTGGCTTTTTAATATCCTGTCTTAACATCCCATAAACGGATAGATTTATCATTACTACCAGATGCTAATGTAGTACCATCAGGAGAGTAACAAATTGAATTAATTGCATATGAATGACCATCTAATATGGCTTTTTATTATCCTGTCTTAACATCCCATAAATGGATAGAGCTATCTGAACTACCAGATGCTAATGTAGTACCATCAGGTGAGAAACAGACTGCCCAAACCATACCTGAATGACCATCTAATTTGGCTGTTTATTATCCTTTCTTTACATCCCATAAATGGATAAATTCATCTGAACTACCAGCTGCTAATGTAATACCATCAGGAGAGAAATTGACTGAATTAATCCTATTTGAATGACCATCTAATTTGGCTATTTATTATCCTATCTTAACATCCCATAAACAAATAAAGTTATCTGAACTACCAGATGCTAATCTAGTGCCATCAGGAGAGAAACAAATAGAATTAACTATATTTGAATGACCAACTAATTTGTCTTATTATTTTCCTGTTTTAAGATTCCATAAATACACAAATTCTCCACTGCTGAAAGCTAATGTAGAATTATTAGGGGAGAAGCATAATGATTTTGCCTGGTCATTTTCCCTAATTTTGAACTTTTTTTTCCCAGTTTAAACATCCCACAATATAATCAAATTATCATCACTACTAGAGGCTAATAATTTACCATCTTGAGAAAAGCATACCTAATTAACTCCTCCAATATGGCCATCTAGTTTATTTAACTCATGTATTTTGATATTTTTCCATTAACAACTAAACATTTAAGCTTAACTCAAGTTCATTCCACTAATATCTACATTGGCAAATTCTGAGCCATTTAAAATGCATCGTACAAAATTTCCACCAACTAAGGAGGTATCTCTAATTCTGATATTCTCAAAACTCTATCCTCTCAAATCAACCTTCATCCAAACTATCAAATGAAGAGAATTTGATCCACACTAAATGTATCTCTTATCTAAGGCAGTCAGATGAACTAAAAATTTGAGAAATTCTATTATCTTCTTATCCCATGATATTTTTATGATTAGATCTTTTTTAATTTCTTCATAACCATCAATAGAGTAATTCTGTTTATTAAATTCATGATCCCTAATTTTTTTGAGAATATCCGTTATTTTCTTAATGTTCTTCTCTCCTTTGAGAGTCTATTCTTTCTCAAGCAGAGATTAGCTTTCTACCTTTTAACTTTCTATTTCTAAAAGGAATTTGTTTTGATCTTATTAGAGAAATTCTAGGCAGTCTTAAATTCTCTCTTTTTTTAATATTTTTATGAGGATAGGGAGGACTTCATCAACCTCTTTGGATAAGGCCAAAACCTGATACAAATCTCCAACTTACTCTTTTTCGTGGTGCATTTACTTTTTTAAAAAATAATATTGAATTTCTATTACTTTATCTTGAGTCTTATGCTATGAATCAAAAACATATCTTACACATTATATTGATTGAAAGAAATGCAATATTGCAAAGATTTAGAGTTGATGTAAATTATACTAATCAATGAAATGGGCGATGAAATAGAGGAGTTTTTGCGAATTAGCTTTATTATGAGTAAAAGCATTCCATAGGGGATAAAAATGATAGAAAAAGGATAAATATGCAACATAATGTTCAAAAAATTAAGGGGATTAAAGAGGATATGAAAATAAAATAAATAGGGGAGGAAATAGGCTTTGAATAGAGGATGCTTAAGAAGAAAAATAAGGAAAAAATAGGAACAAAGTATACATGAAATATATTAATAAGAAAAAATATAGGGGAAAAATAGGGAATGAAATTGGTGATGAAATCTATGAAGATAGATAATTAATTCGGAATAAAATAGGGGGTAAATATGCTGTGAAATATATGATAAACAAAAGAATAAATCGATGATTAAAATGGTTATGAACTATGCGATGAAATATAGTATGTAATAGCCAAAAAAATAGGCAATGAACAATACGATTAAATAGGAGTTGGAATAGGAAATATAATTTCTTAAGCTATTTTTCTTAATAAATCCTTTTTATACAAATGATGTGACCAAAAATATAAAATTCTCTCAAAGTTCGTAAATTATAATACTATTATTCCACCTTAAATAAATACTGTCAAAAATTTTTATCTTTATGGGTTTGGGGTTGGGGTTGGGGTTGGGGTTTGGGTTGGGTTTGGGGTTGGGTTGGGG